CGGTTGGCCAGGTAGCTGTCTTCCAAATTTCTTGGCATAGATGAGTGAGCACTTCCAGTGCTGCATCCCTTTGCTGAAACATCTCAACTGGTATTCCGTCAATTCCTGGAGCCTAGTTTTTCGCCAGTGCCTTCAGTGCAGCTTGGACTTCTTCCTTCAGTACCATTGGTTCCTGATCATATGTTACCTCTTGAAATGGTTGAATGTTGACCAATTCTTTTTGGTATAATGACTCTGTGTATTCCTTCCATCTTCTTTTAATGTTTTCTGCATAGTTTAATATTTTCCCCGTAGAATCCTTAAATATTGCAACCCAAGGCTTGAATTTTTTCTTCAGTTCTTTCAGCTTGAGAAATGCCAAGTATGGTCTTCCCTTTTGGTTTTCTATCTCCAGGTCTTTGCACATGTCATTATAATACCTTACTTTGTCTTCCTGAGCCACCCTTTGAAATCTTCTGTTCAGCTCTTTTACTTCATTATATCTTCTGTTTGTTTTAGCTACTCAGCATTCAAGGGTAAGTTTCAGAGTCTCTTCTGACATCCATTTTGGTCTTTTCTTTCTTTCCTGTCTTTTTAATGACCTTTTGCTTTCTTCATGTATGATGTCTTTGATGTCATTCCACAACTTGTCTGGTCTTCAGTCATTAGTGTTCAACACGTCAAATCTATTCTTGAGATGGTCTCTAAATTCAGGTGGGATATACTCAAGATCATACTTTGGCTCTTGTGGATTTGTTCTAGTTTTCTTCAGCTGCAACTTGAACTTGCATATGAGTAGTTGATGGTCTGTTCCATATTCGGCCCCTTGCCTTGTTTTGACTGATGATATTGAGCTTTTCCATCATCTCTTTCCGCAGATGTAGTCAATTTGATTCCTGTGTATTCCATCTGATGGGGTCCATGTGTATAGTGGCTGCTTATGTTGTTGAAAAAAGGTATTTGCAAAATTCTATCACGCAATCTCCGGCATCATTTCCATTACCAAAGCCGTATTTTTCCAACTACCAAGCCTTCTTCTTTGTTTCCAACTTTCGTATTCCAATCATCAGTAATTATCAATGCATTCTGATTGCACTTCAGTCAATTTCAGACTGCAGAAGTTGGTAAAAATCTTCAATTTCCCATCTTCAGTCTTAGTAGTTGGTGTGTCTATTTGAATAATAGTCATATTAACTGGTCTTCCTTGTAGGCGTATGACTATTATCGTATCACTGACAGCATTGTACTTTAGAAGAGATCTTGAAATGTTCTTTTTGACGATGAATGCAATGGCATTCCTCTTCGAGTTGTCATTCCCGACATAGTAGACCATATGATTGACTGATTCATAATGGCCAATACCAGCCCATTTTAGCTCACTAATGGCTAGGATATCAATGTTATTGCATTCCATTTCATTTTTGGTGATTTCCAATTTTCCTAGATTCATACTTTGTACATTCCACGTTCCAATTATTAATGGGTATTTGCAGCTATTTCTTCTCATTTTGAGTCGTGCCACATCAGCAAATGAAAGTTCCGAAAGTTTGACTCCACCCATATCATTAAGGTCGACTCTACTTTGAGGAGGCAGCTCTTCCCCAGTTTTCTCTTGAGTGCCTTCCGACCTGAGGGGCTCATCTTCCAGCAATATATCAGACAATGTTCTGCTGCTGTTCATAAGGTTTTCACTGGCTAATCCTTTTCAGAAGCAGACTGTCAGGTCCTTCTTCTTAGTCTATCTTAGTCTGGAAGCTCAGCTGAAACCTGTCTGCCATGGGTGACCCTGCTGGTATTTGAATACCAGTGGCATAGCTTCCAGCAACCCAGCAACACCCAAGCCCCCCCAGGATGACAAATTGACAGATGTTGGGGGGAGGAGTCTAGATAGTAGTCATTTGTTATTTTTGGTAATGGGAAAGGTAACATGGAATGAGGGTGAAGTATACAAAGGTAAACGATGTCACTAAAAAGTACACAAGAAAAAAGGACCTGTTGGTAGTTGCTGTGGTATATATAATTTTGAAATAACAGCAGAAACAACCAAAAAATATATGTGCAGGTATATATGTATGTATGCAGACATATAAGTGTATAAGTATGTGTATTTGTGTGTATATATAGGAATATGCATATGTATATGCATCTATGTAACTGTATGCACATATATTCATATATATAATAAAGCACATAAGAGGCACAGTTATGGATACTTCTTACACATAACCAAACACCTTGAGGGATTGGATTTCTGGGTTTGAGGTATTAGGACCATAATCTTGTGGGACATCTTGGTCAGTTGGTGTTTTAGTCATCTAGTGCTGCTATAACAGAAATACCACAAGTAGGACAGCTTTAACAAAGAGAAACTTATTTTCTCACAGTCTGGTAGGCTACAAGTCCAAATTTAGGGCATCAGCTCCAGGGGAAGTCTTTCTTTCTCTGTAGCTTCTGGAGGAAGGTACTTGTCATCAATCTTCCCTTGGTCTGGGAGCTTCTTAGTGCAGGAACCTCTGGTCCAAAGGATGTACCCTGCTCCCGGTGCTGCTTTCTTGTTAGTATGCGGTCCCCATGTCTCTCTGCTTGCTTCTCTCTTCTATATCTTATAAGAGATTGGCTTAAGACACAATCTAATTTTCTAGATCTCATCAGCATAACTGCTGCTAATCCATCTCGTTAACATCATAGTGACAGGATTTACAACTCATAGGAAAATCACATCAGATGACAAAATGGTGGACAATCATACAATACTGGGAATCATGGCCTAGCCAAATTAACACACATATTTTTGGGGGACACAATTCAATCCATGACATTTGGTATAATACAGTTCATAAAGTTATGTTCTACATCCTAGTTTGGTGAGTAGTATCTGGGACCTCGAAAGCTTGTGAGCAGCCATCTAAGATACAACTATTGGTCTCCACTCTTCCAGAGCGAAAGAGAAAGAAGAAAACCAAAGACTCAAAAAAGAAAGTAGTCTACAGGAAAAATAGCCTACATGAACCACGGCCTCATCTACCCTGAGACCAGAAGACCTATCTAGTGCCTGACTACCACTTCTGACCATGCTAATCAGGGGCACAATATATGGACCCTGATAGAATGGGAGAAAAATGTGGAACAGAACTTCAAATTCCTAAAAAACAAACAAAAAACCCTAGATCTACTAGACTGGTTGAGACTGGAGGACTCCCTGAGACTATTGCGGTGAGATACTCTTCAAAATCCTGAACTGAAATGAACCCCTAAGGTCACCTTGTAGTTAAATAACAAATTGGCTCAAAAAATAATGAATATCACCCTTAAGTACTGTGGTCCTTTAAAAAATCACCTATATGAGACCAAACTGTCAACAATTACTTTAGAATAAAGATGAGAATGTAAGGGGGCAAGGAAACTAGATTAATGGAAATGGTACAACCAGAACATAAATAATGAGAATGTTCATGCAATGTGAAGAATGTAACCAATGTTACTGAACAACTCCCCCACCCGCGTGGTTGGAATTGCTAAACTAGTAAGAAGTAAGCCCAGAAAGCCTGATCATCTTTCTTTGCTACCAAATGGGAGAGAGAGTGCTCAATTACGAGGCAAGGAATTTTGTCTGTCTTGCTCACTGTATCCCCAGAGTTTAGAACAGGGCCCCTGTTTATTGTATCCTCAGGGCCTGAGAATGAAACCAACTCAGAGAAAAATAAGCCAAGACAGACAGAGGTCTGACATCATCCTTTGAGCAACTGATCAGCTTTACCTGAAGTCCTTACTTTCTCTTTTGTCCTTAAATCAGTTTGCATTTGGCTTCTACCACTTTTAACCAAGAGTCTTGACCAATACAAGCAAAGCATCTTAACTCAAGTCTCTTGATAAACCTTCCTGCAGAAGCAGTCACAGTAAGCAGTGACCATGGGGGCCACAGTGGTCTCCCCTAGGGCCTTCACATGCCTCCCTCCTTTTCTGAAGTCTACGCTTTTGTTCCTTGGGTAACAAACTCCTTCAAGGCAGCAATCAGATTTTCTCTGTGTCATTTAAGTTCTCTTTAGCCTTTCATATAGGACTCTTTGCACAGAGGAGCCCTTAGTAGATGGTGGCATAATAGCTGGGCTGAAACACCAGGGTACAGGGCTACTTCTGCCTTTTTTTTTTTAGTTGTGATTTAGGTAAAAGTTTACAGCGTAAATTAGTTTTTCATTCAAAAATTTTATACACAAATTGTTTGTGCCATTGAGTGCAATCCCTACAATGTGTCAGCACTCTCCCCCTTTCCCTTTACAGCCTGGGTTCCCTGTGTCCAGTTGTTCAGGTTTCCTTTCCCTTCCTGCCTTCTCATCTTTGGATATGGGCAGGAGTTGCCCATTAGGTCTCCTACACTTGATTGAACCAAGAAACACGTTCCTCACATGTGTTATTGTTTGTTGTATAGGCCTGCCTAATCATTGGCTGAAACGTGGACTTCGGGAGTGGCTTCAGTTCTGAGTTAGCAGGGTATCCAGGGACCATGGTCTCGGCGGTCCCTCTAGTCTCTGTCAGACTAGTAAGTCTGGTCTGTTTTTTGTGAATTTGAATTTTGTTCTACATTTTTCTCCCACTCTGCCCGGGACACTATTGTGATCCCTATCAGATGAGTTGGTGGTGATAGTCAAGCACCATCTAGTTGCTCTGGGCTCAGGCTGGTGGAGGCTGTGGTTCATGTGGTCCATAAATCCTTTGGACTGGTATTTTCCTTCCATCTTTGATTTTCTTCATTCTCCTTTGCTTTGAACACGATAAACTAAGAACTGCACTCCCTGGTGCCTGGCACAGTTTCTGACATATATTATGTGTTCAATAAATATTTGTTGAATGTATGAACAAGAGGAAGTGTGCAAACCCTTCCACAGCTCATGAGGATAGCAACCCTGGAAATTCAAGAACATCTGTATTCCCATAGGCCTCTCCTCTCCCTTCATCTTCCTCTCCCCTTAAAATGTGAAGTTTCTCCTGGATTCTCACTCTGTGTCTCTTTTTTTTTCTGCAGCACCTATCAGGGCCTGGGTTTCAACCTCCCACGCCAAGGCGGTGGGCAAGTGAGCAGTGAGCTAAGGCCCCTGGTGGCTCTGGGCACTGAATCTCACCTGCGGCCATGGGCGAAGCTGCAGTTGATTTTCAACCAGCTCAGGTCTCCCAGAAAGGCACACACTGGTCCTGCTCTCATACTGATGAGTTCTCAACGTGGGCACTTCCAAGCAATCAGCAGGCCCTGAGGGTCCTTTCTCCAAAGTGAGAGCTACCCCCTAGTCCAAGCTTCCGTGGACAGCTGTCTTGGCCCCCTAACTGGCCTCTGTTCTTCTAATTGTTGTTTTTGTTAAGTGCTGACAAGTCAACTCTGACTCACAGCCGTTCTATATGACTGAGTAGAACTGCCCCATAAGGTTTCCTAAAGTGTAAAATTTTTTTGTTGTTTGGTTTTCTTTTTTTAGTTTAAAAAAATTTTGTTTTCATTTTTTATAAATCCACTTTATTGTTTTTCATCTTTGTTTTGTTTTTATTGTTGAGAATATATACAGCAAAATACCAATTCAATAGTTTCCACAATGTACAATTCAGTGACATTGATTACATTCTTCAAGTTGTGCATCTGTTCTCACCCTCCTTTTCTGAGTTGCTCCTCCCCATTAACATAAACTCAGTGCCCCCTAAGTTTCCTATCTAATCTTTCGAGTTGCTGTTGCCAATTTGATCCCATATAAAACCAAAACCAAACCTGTTGCCGTTGAGTTGATTCCGACTCATAGTTCAGAGTAGCCCTGCCCCATAGTGTTTCCAAGGAGCAGCTAGTGGGTTTGAATTGCCGGCCTTTTGGTTAGCAACCAAGCTCTTAACCACTGTGCCACCAGGGCTCCTGATCCCGTATAGATAGTCCTTAAATGAGTATAATGCTCAAGGCAGGCATTCTTTACTAGTTAAGCTAAACTATTGTTTCGTTTTAAGAAGACTTCAGAGGATAATTTTGGTTTAAGGGTTAAAGATTATCTCAGAACAATACTTTCAGGGATTCATCCAACCTTCATGACTCCAGGAAGTCTGGAGTCCATAAGTATTTGAAATTCTGTTCTGCATTTCCCCCCCTTTTGTTTTTATTGTACTTCAGGTGAAGGCTTACAGAACAAATAGTTTCTCATGAAACAGTAGTTCACATGTTTTATGACATTGGTTAACAACCCCACAACATATCAACCCTCTAACTTCTCAACCTTTTTTTTGGTGAAAATACACATAGCCTAAGATACAGCATTTCAAAAATTTCTACATGTACAGTTCAGTGACATTGACTACACTCTTCCAATTGTGCTGTTATTCTCACTTAAGATGAAGGCTTACGGAACAAAATAGTTTCTCATTTAACAGTTACTACAAATGTTGCCCTATGACAATGGTTAACAATCTCACAACACATCAACA